GGGTATAGCTCTAAGAGAGGGAGAGGGGAGGAGGAGGAACATGGCAGCAGCAGCAGCAGTTAGCCAGCTGTTGCGAATATTTCACATATTGCTCCTTTCACTTGGCGGTGAAAAAAAGAGTAAATATATATATATATATAAAGCAGCAACAGCAACAGCAGCAGCAGGCCTAATCTAGCTGATCTCCCAAGATAGATAGACATTGATACCCTGTTCTCTACGCCTTTCTTAGTTACAGTTGAGGTTAGCTTAATAAGAATAATATTAATTAAATATTTATTAAGAACTTAACCATTTTTCACTAAGAATTCCCCAAAGGATTCTAACCTTGAACTTGTTTTAGACATATTTCTTATATAAACCATACTTTTTGGTACCTAATTTTTAACCCATTTTAGCTTACAAATCCTGGTATCTATTTATATGAACACCACTGTTGACTATTGCTGGGACCAGTATGGCACTCTTTGCCATATTAAAGGATAGGATATGATATGATATGGGCGGCAAGATAGCTGCCGCAGTGCCGCAATTGATGGCATTAGGCCTTAGATAAGAAATCAGACATTTAAGGGCACAAAAGGCAGCAGTATATATAACATATATACAGCCATATCTTCCAGTCACATCAGCAGCAGCAGCAGCTACCCGGCAACATCATCATCATTGTGGCTGGAAGCAGGAAGCATCCTCATTAAGGGCTTAGCACATGAGGGTTGTCCTGCCCAAGGGTTGCACCCAAACCAAAGGATACCGATCCTCACAGACTAGCTATCTTTATACTAGTATATGTTATATAAAAAGAAATCCAACTGCCACTCCACAAATTACTTTACTACCAATCGTATCGATAATTATTAAAAGCCCTTAGAATATCTAAAAATAGTTGCAAGGATAATAAACAAGTGCTTAAGTGATCGAATGCGTTGTTGCCTTGGCATTGTCTGGAGACCTTGGTCCACAAGGACCTAATTGGCGGCACAATGAGCATTCCCATTCACTTCAATCCACTTCAATTCAAAAGGAGCACACATCCTTCCACGAGCCAAGGATGCCCTGGGATGTCCTGGGATGGCCTGGATGGATCTGACAAGGCTGTCAACTTCAAAGGAGCCTTTCAAATTGTATATTTCGGGCAACACCTAAACTACCTGACCTCGCTTCGAGTGTGTGTGTGTGTGTGTGTCTCTCTCAGACAAATTGGCCATATCCCTTGGCCCATATCCCATATCCCGACAGCAGACACACACACACGTGCAGTTTGCGGTACCGCCTTTGATTTTCTAAGCGAATTGTTTCAAGAAAACCACCAGAGAACAGAGCCTGGACCTGGCCTTTTGCCATATATATCAACAGGATGGCTTTGCATTTGCAGGGGGATGGGTTAAAGGACTCTCCCCGCTCAGCCTCGATTAATTTGCCCGGAAATGGAACTCCACTTGAGTTTAGTTTTGTCAACCCGTTTCCCATTCCATTTCTCCTCCGCCTTGGACATAATTTTTTGTTCGCTTCGTCTGCTTTTGGGATATGGGATATGGGATACTGAATCTGGATGTGCTCTCGAGACCACTTGGCCATGGTTGAATGGGCACAGAAGATGGCCAACTATGCTTTGAACTATGGGGAAACTAATGGCAGCAGACAGGGCGCAGTCCCATTAACCCCCAACCCCTCGAAAAAATCGAAACCAAACGATTTGAAATCTCTTTTCTCTCTTCCCCCTGAGTACATGTCTTTTTTTTGGGATGGATATTGATGGATATTAAATATATAATAAAATATATATATATATCTAATATTAAGAAAACCTTTATAATGACAGTTTTAAAGGAGTATTCAGGGGAATTTATATGTTTTTGTGACTATAAACTATGTTCTTTTAGTCTTGGAAGTAGTATGTATTTTATATAATTTGATCTATATAATATATATAATAATTTTTCCATATATAATAAACAATAATTAATTTATATGATATATAGAAAATATTATTATTATAATATATATCATAATTTACCAATACATCATTCTTTCTCACATATTTACTTTTAATTTAATAAAACATGTTCTCTATAAAATATATTTCCTATTAACCTATACTTTTCTTTTATCAAAAGTATATAAAATACATCAGTCTAAGAGCTATATTATTCGCTCAGTGTACAGCTTCTTCCACCGAATGGTGCTAATTGGAGTAAAGAGTGTCCCAAAAACTCAAGCTGCAACAATTAAACGCATTAATGCGACACCTTCCACCTTCCAACCCTCTCTTTTGGTCGGGTCCACCCCATACCCATTAATGCCTTATTAGGGTGGCTCTGGCCGCAACATGGCCGACCAGCACGCACACAAACACACACACACACACACAGCACAAAAAAAAAAAAACAGGGCGTTTAAAAACGCGCGCGTTTTCTGCCGCCTGCTAAGTGCATTTCAATGTATGAAAAGCCGCTTCCGTTTCCGTTAGGCTTTGGGGCCCAAAATCGGAATGAATCGCAGCTAAATTTTATATATATTTATACAAATATATGTGAAATACACAAGCAGTTGAAAAATTAGCAATAATTAAAGAGTGAAATTATTTATAGTATATGTGGTTTATTTTACAAATTCAATACTTTAGTAATTTGAATCTTTCAATTATTAGATTCAAATATATATTTTTATATACTTAGAGTACTTTCTTATACCTATTTTCATTGGGAAATATATTTACTACAAAGTAGCATTTGAGAGACATGAAATACCTACAGAAATAGCCATGAAAAGTCATCTACATTTACCAAATTTGTTTCAATATGTTGATCTCTGTTTTAAAGCATTTCTATTCGATTTTTTGATAATGCTATTGCTCTGACCGTCACTGTGAATATATACATATATATATATATATTTAATTTAACGGAGCGAACAAAGGTGGCTCAACTGGCACACAATTACGAGTACCTCCCTCCTCTCTCTCTCTACCGCCTTAACCTAGGGCCTTTTGCTACGACTTTTCCGTTGTTTTGACACGCAGCCAGCGGAGAGCAGGCAGCAAAATCAGCCATAAAACCCAAACTCAAAACGCCCAGCGAACACCCCTAAAGCACCACCCCTCCTCGAACTCGAACTTATAAAAGGTGCTCCCCTCTTACACACATATATATATATACATAGAGCTATATATATGTATGTATATATAGCTGACCCCCACCGACCGCAAAAAGTGTTAAATTATAGACTTTAAATAGCAAACGGGTATCACATGATTATATGATTATAACGCTTTTGAGAGCGCCAACAGCTGGTGAACTTAAAAACTCAAGGGGGTTGGTTTCCATTTATTGTTATTGTTGAAGTTGCTGCTGCAGTGTTGTTGATTTTCCAGAAAACTATCAAAGTTAAACAAAAGTATCTCTCATTATTTAAGCAAATTATATATTGATTTATTTCGGGGTAAAGTGAGGTAAGAAGTTTGCTATAAAAGGGAAGTACTAGGAAAGCTGATGGAACTATATATATCTCTGAGATTTTTCCTGATTTGAAATACTTAAAACAAGGCTCTAATACTTGATGTGTGTTTAGTTAAAAGATAGGTAACGCGGTAGCTGTTTCTAAAGACTTCCCTTTGCTACTCTTTGCTAATAATTATATTTCTCGTACTAAAATATACCCTCGAATGACCTTAAACTAAAGCTAAAATATATTAAAAAACACTTGAAATAAAATCCAACTACTTTGGCATACAATTGGGAATCGTTATAGTCACAATACCCAAGTAAGAGCCACACGCAGCGTCGGCTTTTTGGCGTTTGAACTAAGCGAAATTAATGGCCAACACAGGCTACTTAGGCGGAGGCCCACGCACACATTGCCGGACACGAGAGACACGGACACGGACAATTCTACGGGGGAGAATGGAGAACAGAGAATGGAGAATTGAGAACAGAGAATGGAGAATCAAGCTGGAGTAGCCCTTATCCACCGCCTCGGCTTGGCGGCTTGTTCGCTAAAGCGATTTATGACTCGGCATGCAAAACGAGCCACAGAAGAAAGAGGCGGAGACATGACACAAAACTGCAGAACCACATGGCGCCCGCCCAAGATCGTAATGATCACCAGCACCCATGATCATGATTATGATCATGATCATGATCGTAAAGTCACAACGGGTGGGCGCAACCCCCAACCCCAACCCCAACCCCAACCCCAACCCCACCCCACTCGATCGTTCGATCAATAAAAAATGAAAATTTTGCCCAGCAGTTGATGAAATTTACGCGATCGGCGTCGGCACAACTACAAAGTCAAAAGAAGCGCGGCGGCCCAGCAGCGGCCTTCAAATGAAAACCGACAATTTGCTTGGCGCCCGCTCTCCACCCTCCAACAGAGAAGATCCCAGATCCCAGATCCCCGGGTCTGGTCTTATCCCATTCCCGCTTCTTCATGCGTGTGAGAAGTTTTAGATAAGAAGGAGGACCATGACTACTTCAAAGTGCAAGTCCGAGGAACGAGACCGACGACTCTCGGATGCCATGCAAATTTCCAATGATAAGAGGAAGGAAAAATTAACTTGGAAAAAAATATATAGAAGGAAATTAAAAAAGAAGAAGTTGGAAGTTGGGGAGAGTGTGTTAAGAGCAGGGCTCTTTGGATAGGAAACTTAGATAAAAGTCTACTTTGATGTAAGACAGTTCCGTCTGGCTTTATTTCCTAAAGGAACTTTGTAGAGTTGGGAGTTAATTATTGGAAAAATCTATCTAAAACCTATTTTCAATCATACAGCAAACATTCAAAACAAATTTTAGCTTCAGAAAAATTTCAAAATAATATTTTTCAGTCAAGTAAAAAAGCATACACAAAGTGAAACTAATTTCCTATCAAGACTTTGTTTTTTAAGGGTTTTACTATTGGTTTTGGTTTAGCTTTGTTCTGGTTTTCATTATCAGGGTGTTTTATGGGTAATATATAGGTGTTGCTTAGTTAACTAAATGCGGTAAACAAAGAAGACGTACAGTACTTACAAATCCATGTTTATCACTAATATTGTTGGTCAATTTTAATTTGTGAAATGAAACAACTTTCTGCATCCATTGCTCACCCGTTGTGGGTGAATCTGGATGGATATACATGCGTTTTGGCATCTCGGGATCCGCTTTACCAGCCACCATCCAGCGACTGCAATTAATACAATTTATATATATATATATAATCATAATATAATATGTTAAATCAACTTACCTATTATGAAATTTGTAACGATAATCATCCGCCGCCACAATGTCCAGTAGCAGGATATATTTAGCCTTGGCATCCAGTCCCGAAACACGAAATTTCATTTGCGGAAACATTTGTCTGCAAAAACAAGTAAAGGAATATATAAATATATGAACGATTAGGAGAATAATGGGTGGTGCTTTTTGTGGGGGTAATCAAATAAAGCATTAATCAGTGCGGTGGTTTATATGTACCGTAGGAGAGATCCCAGTGTATCCCAGTCTCGAACACGTATTCTCAGGGTTCTCAGGGGGCCCCCCAAAACCGCCAAGAGATCTTGAGAGATCGCAGCTCGCTGCAAAACAATCATCATCATCATCATTATCGGATTTGGATTCGGACTACGGTGTGCTTGAGCTGTGTTGGCCAAAAGCAAACAAACCATGGCCCAAACGATACGGCGGGGCCGGGTTATCAAGTGGCGCCAAGCCACAAATTGTTTCGACTCGAAGTCCAGCTCCAGAGATCCCAGCTCCAGAGCTCCCAGCTCCCAGACCTCTATAGAGCTCTACTTCCCCCCACTCGTCGTTTCCCGCTCGAATTCAAATTGGCCCAAAGAGAAGAGAGCGGGGTCTCCTCTCCTCTCCTCTCCGCTCTACTCTTGGCCAGGTTGATTAGCCATGTTGGTGGCAATGTGCAAACTCGAAAATTACATGGCCCAGACCAAAAGGGGGAACACACACACAGCACTGGCAATGTCGTTCCCTGTCCCTCCATCTGCACCTTCCGACCCCCGAAAAACAAGAGGAAAAGACTGAGGATGAGGATGAGGATGTGGAGAGAGGGGATGATTCCTTGGGATGAGGATGTGAAGGGAGAGGGAATCTGAAGGATGAGGCGTCTTTGGCCAGAGGAGATCTCGCCCTGCACACACACACAAGGGCATAAATATGAAAATTATAACTTTAAGTAGCAATCACTCAATCGCTGTTCGGGTTCAGGTTTGGCTATAGCTGCACTGAGCGAAATTTTAGGGGTTAATTTCTTTACAAATTCACAGTTAAATTGTGACCAATAGACCTTTGATTTAAATGATATTTGTATATGTAACTGATGAATTTCTTTATGATTCTTAACTGGTTTAAGACAAATATTAAGCTTAACCTTTGAATTTAAGGAATAGCATTCAAGTATCATATGTTTGAGGTGTATTTCTCCTTTATTTGTGCTATTAATTGCTTTTTATATTTTATAAACTTAAATTGCCTTTTGTTTTGCATAATTATGATTGTTTTTTTATAATTCTATTTGTTTTTTATTTAATTGTTTCAGGAAAGCTTCCGTTTCTATCAAGCTGTGAGTATGGATTTAAATAATTTAGTATTATTATTTAATTTGATAAATTAGATACAGCTTTGTATAATATGCATAACTCTTCCCATTTTGTTTTTTATAATTTCTTTAAGCTGAAGTCTTTCTTCTATTTGAATGTTATTTAGTGTATTTCAGTGCTTGGGGTATTCTATTCTATTTATAAAATCAGATATATCCTTTCCTTGAACTCCTTTTTGTTTTCATAATTTCCTTGTAATTTCCAACTTGTTTTTAAAAAAGACTTAGTTCAGAACTCTATTTCCTATAATCTATAGAAACTTTCTCACAGTGCCTCCTATCTTGTTGCCACAAATTCAGGTTGAGGCTGGAACTCCTGGACCGAGAGCGCCTCATGAATCAAATTTAACGAACGTCTTGTTCATGTTCACAGATCATCATCAGCTGCGACTGCATTTTTGATAAAATAAAAATAAGAGAAAAAAAACAAGAGAAGGAAAAACCAACAAACCCTGGGACTTGGGGGTCCCGATCAAAAGGGGGTGAGGCAGGCGCGAGGGCCTAACAAGCTGACTGATGTCTGTCTGACTGACTGGACGGGATGGGTCTCCGAATGGGACGGGTATTGGACTGGACAGACGAAGGAGGGCGAGCCCCAAACCCGAGGATGTTTCTATTTGGAGGAGAGCAGGCACCAGGAGGCACCAGGAGGCACCAAGAGGCACACCAGTCGGTGTACCTTGAGGGGGGTGTCTGCCTTTTTCGACTGCAAATTATTTTTTATTTGCCAGGAACGAAGGCACGTCTGTCTGCGCCTCGCCTTGCCAGGCTTTTGCTTTGCTTTTCTTGCTTTATTTTATTTTTTTATATTTTATTTGCTTTTTGGGCCTGGACTTTTTTGCTGTGTGTGTGTGTGTGTTGTCTTAACTGAATAGCTCGTTAACATTATTGAGCACTTGGCGCCAGTTGTTGGCAGCTTGTTATGGCCAGAGACCAGGGACCGGGCCAAGACCAGAGACATGGCCCCAAGCGAGGCCGACTTTGGAGCCAGTTTCCTGGGCCCACACCGCATGCCGCTTATACTACAGAGTGTTTTTTTTTGCCTTTGTTGCTTTTGCTGCTGCCTGAAAACCCTGGGCTCCAGTGCCAGCTCTTGCTCGACAACAAAACGATTTGCTCTCGTTTGTGCTGGTGGCTCGGTCGCTCGCTCGCTGCCGCCTGGCTTGGCTAAAAAGCCAAGACTTCTGGCCCAAAAGCAAACCGAGATTCAGGTTCGTGCAAATCGTTACGTGTAAAACTTGCACCTTTTGACCAACGTTCGTTCGTTGTTTGTTTTTGCCACACACATTTAACGGGAGAGCCACCGCGGCTAATTCAATTTCCCCCGGCCAAAAGTGTTGAGACCAGCAAAAAAAAAAAATATACAAAAAATACAAAAGAGAAAAAGAAGGGAAACAACAACAACAACCGGGCTCCTGCCCATAATTAAGCCTAATTAAGGCTCAGTGCGTTTCGTTTTCTTGGTTGAGAGTGTGTTAAGGTGTCGCTCTGATGTCCTTAGCCCACATAGAGGGTTAATGGCTAATCAATTAGCCCAGGCCCCGAAAATAAATAAAATGACCAACAATTGAGTTGTAATTGGTTCGAGTTTGAAAGAAGAACAAGTATAAAGTAAGGAAATAAAAGAAGAAAATATGGAAGACTAACTAAAAATGCTTAGGAAATATATAGAATATATATAATATACCAAAATATTCAAATAATCAGTGCTAAAAACTGATAAGCTCAAGGCAAAGTGTATTTTAAACACTTAAAAAATCAACATAAAAACGCACACAAAAACCACACTTCATAAATGTGTTGAACTAGACTAGACGAGACACTTGAATAAATCATTAAATACTTGTATAAATATATATACAAGTACTAGATTTTTAATGAGTTGATTAAACAACTATATAAACTCGAGGTAATTACATAATTAGATTGTGAAATTCTAGTTTAATTTTGTACCTAAAAGTATAGAGCAATTCCTGTATAGTTTCCTTACTATAAAATTGTGGCACAACCCTTGGAATGAAGGACTCTACTTATCTAAATCTTGGCTACTTGTGGTGCCCATGTAATCGATTAGCGATGCCATCAGCAGGTGACATCTGTGTGTCCTGTGGCCAGTGTCCTGTCTCATGTCCTGTATCCTCTGTCTTTAGTTCCCTTGTCTCCAAAGATCCCTTGCCCCTAAATGGCGTCTATTAACGCACCTGTGCCGGCACACACACACACACACACACACACACACAGAGTGGAACCTGCCTTAGAAGCGTCAATGCATTATCTGATAGTCAATCAAACAGCAGCCCGAAAAACCAACTTTAAACTACAGAAAAAATAAAGGAAAGGGAGGCTGCTGCAATGTCAACAGGCGGCCACAGCTGATCTGATCAGGATGAAGGAGCAGAGCCTTTTTAAAGAAAAGGAAAACCAACAAAAGGTTGGCTTGCAAAACGCATTCTTGGTTTTTTCCCCCCCGCCTCTGCTTGTCAACAAGGCGCGGGGATTAAAGTAGCACCTGCACCAGTAGGTGACCCAAAAGGGACACCGAAAATTGGGTATGGGTAGATCGGGGAAGACCCCAGAGATATATATGTACATATATATATAGGGGCACTTCCTCGTTGACAGTTTGGCTTTGTGACAACAAAATTGTTGTCGAGTCGATCTTTTCCCCTCCGTCTTTCAGCGATCTTTCAATCTTTTGGGCCAAGTTTGTCAACACATTGGGTCAATGGATGGATTTCCGATAAACCGACAACAAAAATAAGAGAGAAGTAAAATATAAAGGGGTGCATATTCAGCATAAACATTAAACTTACATCATTTGCCTAGAACATCTGTTGTCCGGTTTAGCATTGCATTTAATTTGAATTTTATTGAATGACAATTGCAATGCAAATTTCCACAAAAAAAACGGGAAGAGGGACATTTGACAAATTTGTGAGCCATGGGGAATACTAAACAAGGAATATCCATATATTTATATGTCTATATATATTTATATGAAGAAAACAAGGACCAAGGCAGCTGCATCATAAACGTTAATTACCCACACAGACAGACAGACAGACAGACAGACAAGGCAGAGGATCGGGGCACAAATTAGTTAAACCAATAAACTGACAGGACCCAGAGTCCCAGACTCTGGACGGTGCCATATATCAAGTCTATATAATAATAAAACAATTTATGAAGGCATAACCACGGCCCCAAGTCCTCGTAAATACGCTCTCTGCCTTGGCCTGTCAGTTAGTTTGGTAACGCCCACTCCGACCGGCGTCTCGTGTTTTGGCCCAAAATGAATGGCCATGTCATTAAGATCCGAAACAGGATCGGAATTGCTATAGGAATCGGGTTTTAGGGATCTGGCTTGTTGTGCGGGATCACGAAACGCAAATAAGCGGGCATAATTATCGTATTTTTTAAATATATTTTATATATATATATATATATTTCTTTTTGAAACTGTAGAATCTATAGGTCGCTTATCGGTTGAGGTCATAAATCTGACGCAATGAATAAATCAAATGTGGGAAATCGCTTGTAATTACAATTTGATCGCTTCATTTTTTCGGAGAGCGTAAAACAAGCGAAGCAAAATGGTTGAAAGAAAACGAAACGAATTTGGAGTACCCCTTAAAGGGAATTAAGTGGGAAATGTCAATGTAATTGTTAAGGAATTATATCGACAAAAAAGCTTTGCTTATGCAGTAGGTTAAATCTTTAATTACTATATACGTTTTTACCATAAA